GGGGGGGGGGGGGTAACTGGTTTCTCATCTTTATATTCTTTTTTTTTCTTTTTTTTTTCATTATGTAGCTTAATTGTTATCGAGCGATTCGGCTGACATTTGTCGATGACTGCCTTTATCGGATGTTCGAATCTCAATTTCGCCTTTACTTGTATATATTCTTCGTGCACTCTTGTACTCCTCGTTCTAATAGTGCTTTCTTGCTCTTAACGATATTCGATCTGATAATACGCAATAGGTGCTCACGATAAACTTAAATCCTACCAGAGGACAGAGATCCTTATAATATGTAATATTTAAACGGACCATGGATATAGTTTACGAATCGTCCAGGACAGTCGTGTGACGGCTGACACTGGAAATATACGAAAGCTTCGATCCTCTTCCAATAGCCAAGTTCGACGAGTGATCGTTTGAGCCGGTGATCCTCAAAAGTCGTGAGAGAAAATCACGAGGATCGTTGGGATTAGATCGTTCTTTATTTTTTTTAATTCGAACCGCACAATTTGGATTTTGAAAATTAATTTTTTTTTATTCTGTCCGATTAATACAGTGCCGTATCAATGTGCAATAGCATTACCGTGAGTCACTCTCGCGACATGTGAAAATTTGATATCTTTCTTTTTTTTTTTTTGAGGACTACAGAAACTCTGTACTCGACTGCTTCTTTATTGGAATAATTTTGAATGCGACACGACGGTCCTGGACGTTTGAAAACCGACTACCGAATCGGCTACAACGTAAATGTAGGCATATACTCTATTAATTGTATCACAACGATAAAACGCTCTTGACCTTTGCTATTAAATAGAGACTCCAATTAGACAACGTATATATCACTGCGGAGTGGCGCTCTAACGAAAATAAACAATGGCATAACGTCAGAGAATAAGAGATAGATGACGTATGCGATACGCGGTTAATATGCAAAAGTATTTTCAAACGTAACGTTATAATGTAGTCTTAACGCTTTCATTTGGAGTTCGTGCGCGTGCCGTTTATACTTGTGTCTGGGCTCGTTGATTAACGCACTAAAATTCTGGCTCACAGCCCACGGCAGCAGACCGCCCTTACGAAAGTCACTTATAAAGTATGATCACGTCGCGCGCGTCACTCGTACGTGTAGAAGACGTAGAAAATAGGAAATTGGCATGAAAACCCGGGAGTATCATTTTTTGTCATTTTCATTCATCTCGCTCGACTATTCATCGAGGATGAAGCATCTCTTTTTTTTTCACTTTTTTTTGTCACCTTAATTCCTTTCGGCTTTCTTTTCTTTGCTTCTGTTACACTGTATCTTGTTCTCGTTAGTCGTGCAAGGGTAGGCTATTCGCTGATACGCGTGAAACGCGTACTGACCTATGTAGAATTTTGAGTCGGGGCACTGTTGGGCATTATTCTTTCTTTGGGTTATTTTCTTTTGACTATTCTTTATTATTGCATAATGCAATTTCTTCGTGATATCGAAGTATCGCATGTTTCACGATAATAGGAACTTTCGATTTTCCTACTGGCTAGCAGCCCTCCGCCATTCGTTTGATATCGCGGTGGGTTTGTATACCTATAGTGTTCTTAGATACCCCGCAGAGAGTAAATCGGATTGGCGAGTTCTCGCGTGAATTACAGTTGCGGAAATGCGTGACGTCTATTCGTTACTGGATAGGGTAGGCATTGTTATATACTTGGGGAGTGCGAGTAGTCGATATCCGGTTTTCTGGATAGTGAAACCGTCACTCAGCATCAAGAGCTTTGACAGCTCTGAGAGGGTAATTCCAGATGATTTACAGAAACGGTATCCAAGGATACTAATAAGGATATTTATTATAGGGGTTTGAGGTAAGAATCGTGACGTCCTGTCTCCTTCGAATCTGGCGACTGGACGATTTCGGGTTGTCGGGGTGGTTCGTAGGGGGTGGTTGGGCGTGTCTGGTCGATATCGTGAATGGCAAGCTTCAACATCTCACCCTTATGTTTCCACGCGAACGGCTCAACGTATGTGCGAGGAAAGAGACGAAAGCGTATAAAAAATAAATACTTAAACGGTGTCGGAGAAAATTATTTAATAAAATAGGAAATTCAAAATTTTATGCTTGTTTTTTGTCAAAAATTTACGCGGTGGGGTTAGAGCTACGTGTAAACGGTCGAGGGAGAATTTCCTGGCCAAATGAGATTCTCAATTCGTGGATTTGAAGGATTACTGGAAGAAGGGGTTAGTTGTATCAAGGTCGTGGGAGAGGGTGTAAGGGAGAAAGGAAAGTGGATAAAGAGAGAAGATAATAGAATAGAGGGGTAGGAGCGAGAAGAAGAAAGTGGAAAGATCTCTTTCTCCGTTTATCAAAGCTACACGTCCCGTAAGTATTGCGCGTTAAACGAGCCAGGAGATCAAACAAGATTTTCTCCAGTCTCATAGAAAAGGACCCAACTGGACCGGTAAGAAGCATTAATTTTACAAGCCTCTCTTAGAGCAACGCTCCCGTGACGCTAGATGTTTCTTTTGATCCGTTATGTGCCAGGATAAACGTTCCACCCCTCCAACCCCTCTTTGCCCCACCACTTTACCCCAGTATTTTTTGTTATTTGTTTTATGTGTTTTGTCCGTTTTTTTTCTTCTTTCCCTACCTCTTTCCGGGAATGAGCTATTTTCTCAGCCGCCAGAGGGAATCGATAGCGCGAGGACCATGTATACGTGCCCGTGCCCCGACTCAATTTTTCTACCGGCACTTTTGTGCAAAGTGCTTTTTCACGGTGTTCGAGCAACTGAACAATGAAACGGGGTCCCGCTTTTTTCTTTCATAATGATAAAATTGCATGCAAAAAAAAAGCGTGAAACATATAGGCGATAATTAGCAATAGACAATATAATCAGAGACCGTGAATGCGTGAGGGAAAAGAAGAATAGAAAAAGAGAAGACATCACGATTGGATGTACACGACAAAAATACAATTTACAACGGAACAATGCTCAAGGGTAGCATGAGAAACAAGAACAGAGATACAGATGGCGTTACGGAAAACTGTGTATAGAATGGTTTTTGAAAGAGTGAAAAGTAGTTGAAAAAAATATCGTTGCCATTTTTTTGGCTTGTCCGTCGCATTGTGCTTTGCGCGCATGTAAGGGTTCCTCGCTCTTTCGTTCTAACGAGGTTGGCATTTAACCTGGATCATGTAAGGGATGTTTTTACCGGCGATTTCACGCTATGAGAATGACTAAGGGTCGCGCGAGACTTGAACTTAAAGAGAATATCGCGACGTGGTGCCAAGAGAAAACGAGAGAAGAAAAGGGTCGAGAAATTAGGCGTAAAAAAAAAGGAACACGAGTCAAGTTACGAAGAAGTAAAAAACGAGAACAAAAAATACGTCACGGATTGGCCGGAACGGAAACGGGCCCCGGTGCGCATGCGCGCGAGCTATCGCCTATCCCGCAAGCTGCACCACGTCGTTCCTCATTTTTGAGCCATTCTTTATTTCTTTCCCCCCTTTTGTTTTTCTATTTATTCTCTCTCTGCTCGCTTCCCAAAACGGTCACCTATCGCAGCTATTCTCGCGAGCGACGTCCCTGCCGTCATTACTCCTTACTTTCTCCACTTTCTTCGAACCCTCTACCGTTCACGCTTATTACAATTACACCAGCACCGATCGAGAGTTACAGTTACCGTAGCATCGTAACTTCCTCACTAATGTATTAACTAGTTAGTTTAATATTTCGCATCAGTCTCCAACATTCAACGTGGCTCAACACATTTTATACTTTTATCCATTTCTGTTCTGTCTCTTCCCTCTCTTCCATAGCCGAAATTACATCGATGAAGTTCGCCTTTGCGTTTGTGCCTCGTTCTTTCTCCGCGTACGTCGCTTCCATCGCGTCAACGTCAACATTGACAAAGAAGACGTTCTTAACGAGACAACTACTGAACCTCTGTACGTTTATTCTTCATAGAAATTTATTCTCGTATCCCAATATCCGCTTCACTTTTGCCCAACATCCACTCGCATATAGGCACGTGTCCATTTTTTTACTCTTTTTGATTTTTTTTTTCAATTTAATTACGTCACCCGTTACCCGTCTCTCTACTCCCTTTAGACTATTCCTATATCTAACCCTCGTTCGTGGGTGCCTCCCGTCATAGCGCATTTCTCACAATCGAGCAGATCGATCCCTTAGTCGATAAACCTTAGTTAACTATTAGTGTGGCTAAATTGACGTATTTATACCGAAGTTTTTTTTTTTAAATCTTTTTCATTTACGGACTAGAGATATACTGGCAATGTTTTTCGGTCATAATATGTTCATCTCTCGTTGAATTAATCCGCACTGCAATCACGAGTCACATTTTCACCCAGTATCGTAACCTATCCCACTTTTCATTCCTCGTTGCAATACGTCTTATCCTTCACATCGCTCCTGACACGCGATGCACGTCTAATTCCCCTTGTCACCTTTGAACTTTTTACGCCATTTCCTTGCCACTATCTATCGACAGCTTCGGACAGTATCATCCCTTCGATCAGTTTCGACCTTTCTTCATCCACATCCACGTGACCGGCACCATTGGTTAACTTTCTTTAAATCCTCCACGAGACGTCTATCATTCGTTCCGCTGATCGGGGCGACATCTCGCGTGGGCTTTCGAAAGCCACTATAAAAGCTCACGACGGGTAGAAGCTCCGAGAGTAGGTAGGTCGGCTGGGTTCTATCTGCAGTGCCTGAAAGTCGAAGTGGTCACAGCACGGTTGAGTTTATTAATTCTTTTTTTCTTTTTCATTTCCTCTCTATTCCTTCTACGTCTTCTCAGTATGCTCATCTCTCTTCGTCAATATCTTCAACCTTCTCGTTCGCGGTCTTGGTACTTTTATCCGTGGCTTTATCCTCTAGTCCACCTTGTGGGAGACCTTCTTCCATGTCCTTCAGCAACACCCACTATGTCGGCTTTGACGAACAGCCTTGCATTGCGTCGACTTCGACAGCTAAGGTGGGCTGACAGATTTGGGCCAACGCTGAACCGATAGTGGGTTAGCCATGCCGGCAGAACCAAGCCGATGGCGAATCTTAGTACCGATTTGACAGATTCTATCAGCATTGACCCTGTCTCAAGCACTAGTTCTATCGTGTTGCTACTACTAGGTTATGGCCCGAGCGTCGGTGTAACGTCAAGACAACATTGGGTCTTTCGAGCGACCCCGGTTCGGGGTTGCCGCTGATCGTATGTGGAACGTCGACTCAATACTGGGTCGATGCTGGGCCGATATTGAGGTTGTTTGTATGTTTTGACATCTGATCAATTTTTTCTATAAACAGTGCCGACCTAACGTCAGGTCAATATTGGGTCATTTGTATACATAGTACCCGACTCATCTTTACGAAATGATATATCGGATCTATATTCTCTTTATTTTCTTTTATGCCTTTCCGAGAAATTGATTTTTACTTTTATAGAATAGCAAAGACTAGGGATGGCTTTTATTCCTATGCGTGTAAATTGGTGCGTCCTACCGTGGTCCTAGCTTGGTGCTAGCTAGTACGCCTGACATTGCGAATCCGTTTATGTAGACCGTGCCCTATCGTTTTATTGACAGTCGTGCTTTCATGCCATTCTGGCAAGGTACTGAAATCCTAGATATCCTACCGTTAATGATAGTGGTTATGCCTCGACTTTTTCTGTTGGGTCTGATCAAGCCCACACTGAGCTTCCCTATTGGTGCCAATGTAGGCGCTACTTATAATCTTTTACCTGATTTTTAGTTACGTGACGTTCAGCTTCCAATATAATGATAACAGTGCGTTTAAGCTTATATTGACTGTTGTATTTCGATGGTGGTTCAGTGTTTCTATGCATGGATACGTATATAAAACGATAATATGAGAAATAAGAAAAGCTTAACAATTAGATTGATATTTTTCGTTCCTATAAGAAGAAAGCCGTGCCAACTCAATTCGGAATTGAATAGAGTCGATCAACTTTATTTGAAAAACTTTCCACCACCTAACCTCGAACAAATTTATGAGAACGACTTTGTATGGCGTCAAACGACAGAGTGTATAAATAGCCACCCAATCGTAATCCATAATACTCGCTAATCATTTGAAAGTATCTGTATCTGACGGTTAATAAATATACGTAGCACAAAGATTTAAATAATAAGATTACTCAAGATTCTAAATAAAATCATTAAATTACTTAAAGCCGAGCTCCTGACTGAATATCGGGCCAAAAGTCAGAGCCAGTATTGGGTCTACGTTTGAATTTGAGATTGGGCCAGTGCGCAGAGCTAGTACTTGGCCAGCGTACTAAACGAGTACTGGGTCAATGCTCGTAGTCAGTACTGTCGCAACGTCATTCGCCAAGGGTTGGTCCCACGTTATTATTCCGACGCTCAGCCACTACACTGCCAAACCTGGCGACTAACGGTGCCCCGATGTTGTCTACATCGACGCTTCTTCTTGCCCAGTACAGGCCGAATAGTAAGTTTCTACAGGGGCACGAGGTCGTCCGCCACCACGTCGCTGATGTGTAGATATATTATCCAGTACATCAGATTGAAGCAGACGAAGCAGACTGGAAACACGATTCGGGAGTACTTGTCGATGTCCGATGGCGTTACACCTGTCAGGATGACGACAGATAAGATATTTTCATTTGCAAGTACGATTATGCCTTTCTGTGCGATGGGGTGCATGGGAGTTAAAAGTACGTACCGTAGAGTTTACTGATATCCTTGCCGGGATGAATGAGGTGTTGAGGTACGGGGGCTGCTTCCTCGTCGGCACGTCCGTTTATAGTGTTCTCCAAGGTACCACCCTTGCTGTGAGCCTTGGGGTCGTGCACCTTGAACCGCACCTCCTGGACAACACGGGACCACTTACAAGAGACACGGCAGTTCGCCGGGGGGCGTCCTTTACCAAGGTTACCCCTTAGTTTGTCGGCGGGTCATGCAACATTGAGGGTACCGCGTCTACTACTGCTACTCGAAAGGGTACCTACTATCGTTCGATTAGCAATTATTTTGCGGTTTAATACCTCATGAGGAAAGATGGCCTTTCGACATTGACTAACGTACCCAGGATACAGGTTATGCGAGGAGTATAAATCACTGTGGCAATAATCAACGATACGAAAATCTCTTGTATTACTTTGATCGTGTTTCGATTTATTTTTATAATATCAAATTTTAATAATTTTATTATTATTCGGGCGGGGTGGGGGCTGACCGGAGGGCCAGAGACAATTAGGCGACTCCTCGTATCGATGTTGACAAACAGCGTATTGAGGTGGTACGGATGACGTTAGAAATAAGGAAGAATGGAAGAGGTCGTGTATTTGGGTAGTGAGGACGAGCGGTGATAGTAAAAATAGCTGGGTTGTCTCGTGTGTGGGAGGCTGAAGGCAAAGCTTTGAAAATTGTCCTGGGCTTTGAGGTTAAGTCGAGGGTATCATCTGATATTGATTTCGGTTAGTTTCCCCTGCGGGAAGTAGCTGCGGAGGTATAGGCATACGTACAGGTATGTACGTAGGTGGAAGTTGATAGGTGCAAGATTGGCCTATTGATATATCAAGATAAGTCAATCGTGTATGTATAGCCAGAGCTGAGAACTGAATTCTGTTATCGAACGAATAGACATAACTTAGGATACGCCTTTATTCGTGTATTCGTATGGGTGCATACATCAGTTGTATACTGACGTCTTTCTTAAAAACTGTCGTTACTTTATTTTTTCTCTTGAAAACGGTACTTTGAATTTAGAGGAAATTAAAAATATTTTTTATTTATTTAGTCACTATCAGAACCAATATCCCTGGTGTTACAAGACACATGACTGAATTAGCATACGCGATAATGTTTCTGTATATAAATTTATTATTTCCCTAGCAGACTGTATTTCTGATTAGTGCTTTCGTGAATAAAAAAAAAAAAAAATTTCTTGAGAGAGAATTGCTATTTTTTACGGTGGATTAACCAAGTATCCAACCCACGCGAGTATCGTTGCTCTTTATTTACCCGTTGAGCAACAATCGTATACTCGGATGTCCTTCATCGACAAATTTAATCTCAGTTGGGCTTTGCGAGTCGAGTAATTAATTCCTTGCTTTTAATTAAAACACTTTACATTACCGGCCCACTATTGTTATTCCTTCTTTCTGCACCCTAAACCTTTTTTGTTCTTTCTTTCCTATTCTACCTCTACAAACCTCCAGAAGAGAGGTTGGGTGGTTACCCTCTCACTCTTCTGTGCAACCCCTGTTTCTATCACTACTCTCGCCACCCTCTCACTCGCTCTCGAGTCTCGCTTTAATATTTTCGTTCTTGCACAATCTGCGAGATTAAAAGAAAATTTATAGTGCATTGCGTTCCTATCCACGCTCCGTTCACCGGGTGGGAATTCATTTCGCAGGACCTTTCAGCTCTCGACCCTTCTTTCCCCTGCGTACACTCGATGATAGGTATCTATCATATCACGTAACAAACGCGTAATCCAACAGACTGAGGTACGGCGTCAAAAAATTGTAAGCTGCAATGCGGTTATTTAAGATTTCAAAAGCCAGACGAAGACACGACTAGAAGAAAGAACACGGAAAAGTACTGTGAGGGATCGCGTGACGTTCTAAAGGATCAGGTCAAGAGTTAGCTCGAATAAGGTATGTATATTCGATGTAAGAACTTTTCTTTGAAGATTCTCAATTACGATTGGACGGACACCCAATTAGTACTTCCCCCGTAAGATTTGACTATAGAATCGTCGTTCGGGGTAGCTTATATACACTATGTATAGTTTAATATGTATATATAGGTATATACATAAGGTACCCTGAACGACAATACATAGAGTGACTCTTATAATTCGAGCACAAAAGGTCCTTTAAACCAGTAGATTAAAAGCATATTTATCGCGTCCATAAAGGTAGCAATGGAATTTCATCTCGTAGGAACCATTGCTTTCTTGATCTTACCCCAAGGCGCTCGTCGTTTCCTCGAGCCACTATAAAATGATTGTAATGTAGCATGAATATTCTATTTCAATCTGCCCTCCATTTCGATTCTGCTATTTTATATTCCACCCGGTTTTACCTTTTTCTTTCCCTCTACCAGGTCCTGTCTTACGCCAGCAGCTATATCCGTCTGTAAGCTACGCGCTCACTTTCCCCGTTCGAAGGAAATTATTTTTCATAAAATGTGAAAAAAGTGAGAAAAAAGAAACGAGTCAGATTGATTAACCTAGCAATAATTTATAACACTGAAATAAATAAATAATAAAATTATTCGATTACCTAATTCATCATGTTGCTTACTAACGTATTAAATACGAGTTACTATGCCTCCAAGTAATGGCTCCTTTGGCCTTCGCGTTTAAGAGCATTCTATACCATATACCTACTTTCTATATCCACTTCATCCTTACTCCAAATGCTCTTTCCCTAAATGGGAAAGCTCCTGGTTTTATGATCTCGCTAATCTTCCTCTGTACGAATATCATGCTCGTAACTATAAACTTTCCTGACATTCGATATATCACGTGAATGTTCCGTAAGCCTTCGGTGTGAATTTTTTTGGAAAAAAAGGACTACTGAGAAAAACATTTTACATGAATTTTTGTGGGGTTCACGTATATCTACCGATGCTATTGTTATCTGATTTTATTGATATCTGAGAACGGGTGCTACGTTTATTTTTTTTCTGCGCTAATTTCTGTATCTACATATATGATTCGTCGATATTCTCTCATTCATACTAGCCATAGCGGTATGGTATACATATATGTTGGTCCTTGTCGCAGGATGGTTGCGGCCCCGTTTGTTATTCAATTATTGTGGCTACGCCGCTCTTCGCGTAGTTATCTCAAATATGTATTGATATTCGGTTAAGCCATTGGCAACTCGTTCACCATAGCTATCGTAATTTGGATCATCTGGTTTATCTGAGTACGGTGTTATAAGATACGTTAAATATGCATATACCTATCTACGAAGGTATACGAACACGTGATTGTATAATTACGTATGGCTGCCTACTACATAAGGTTTACAGTGCGCAACTGGAAAATCGTAATAATGTCTTGGCGAAGCTAATTATTTAAAGCTAATTACCCAATTTCTCAGCGAGGAAATACCCGGCAAAGAGCTTCACTCGCTCGTTGAACTAGGAATGTTTTGCGCTCGTAAATTAGCCGCAGTGGCGCTAAGTGCCGTCTTCTTGAGCTTGAATTACATCAGGCTCCTTTTCGCCGGATGGAAATGACCAAAGACGACACTGACCGTAGCGACTCTAGCGGGACGCCACCGAAGCATGTCAATTGAGCATACGATGCGGACGTGTATTTTTTTAATTTGCGCGTAGAGCTGAGCGAATTGCAATAAAAAACACTAGCATGCCGGTTTCTGCACATGATTAAAAAAAGTCCGGCCTTAGTATGGCTAAAGAAACTCGACTGCTTGATTTTCGTGAGTTCAATTTATGTGATTCAGAAATAAAAATTTCCACACGTATGAACAATATATATGCAATATACATACATATGTAAGTCTTATGTGATTTTACGATTTTTTATATGTGTTTCGGTATATTGACGCGTACGTAAAGACCGCTCGTTGTTTTTTTTTCCATTCAATCATGCCAACGTAATAAACAGTGTTCTTATACGAAAAAGTTCAATTTTATCCAAAAATTCGAACATCCTCCTCGACGCGATACGATTCTCACAAAAGTTTCCTTTGTCTATTCAACTTTGTTTTTTTTTCTCTCAATGTTGGCAATTTACGGTGGGATGTATTCCGAGGATACAGATAGCGGATGCTGTGGGAAGAAAGGACGGAAGAGTGGAAATAGGTAACTCCGGATGATGGGATAGACGCGAGGCTATTTCGCTTGACTAAGTTTTTTCAATTTTGCTTACGCTTTCGTCTTTTTATCGAGTCAGCCGTCTCCTACCGTCCCCGCCACCCTCTGTACCCCTTATCCTTTATAGGGGAACGCGTAACGCGTCATCCTCGGCCAATCGACTAAGGGTGTCTGAAGAGTTGCAGAATTTGATTCCCTCAGAAAAGGATGGCCACCCATTTTTTTACTTTATTCCCTCCCTCACTTCTTCTCAATTCATTCTTACTCGTACATTTGCAAGATCAGGGCAAAAAGGGGGGGCCGGCTGATTTTTGGCGTGCGCTACTCACAGTTTGCTTGGGCGCGTGATCCCCGTGGTCACCTGGTATACCCGGTGGTCCGGGATTCTCTCGTGCGGCCTTCATACTTTCGGCTATCTTTTGAAAGCGGTTCTTCCTCATCTGGATTCTCTTGGCCATGTAACCCACAGTGGCGTATTCTGCACACGGCGAGGAAAACGTGAAAAAAAGAAACAGACAGAAGGCGTTAATTAGTGTAGGAACCTTGTACCGTTGTACAAATGCTTTTTGTTACGTAGAAGATAAAAAAAAACAATCACACACACATACATATATATATTACCAAAAAGAAAGAAAGAAAATCTGTATACGTGAAGAGGTCGACTCTTCGTGGATGTCCAGGTTAAAAATTATTCTTTTCAATTTCTTCCTTTGCGCAGGACGAAGAAGGAGAACATCCTTAATTTAATATAATATAACATAGAGATTCTTTAAAGCATCGATGATCCAATTCTATGATGATTATAATGATTCTGGTTTTTATTCTTATGGGTATGTATGTTTGGTGTAGAGAAACTTTTGTATTGTATATATATTTAAAAAAGAAACATATATTATATATATAACACTTTGATATTACCTCTCGTGTTACACTTCCTTAGTCCACTCTATTACGCATTCGCTTAACGTGCCACCGCTTAATGTACCGTTCACCTTTTTCACTCGTAATCCTTATGCTTTCTTTTTTACTGCTTTTTCGTATTACGACGTCGTCGCTGGCTTCGGCTGATCGCTTTACTCCGTTTACTTGCACTTTACGGGGCTTCTCATCTCGAGAACGGGAATTGCGAATTTTCGGCTGCCCATAAACCGTACTTCGTGTATGGATACGTGAACTTTCGGACCGTGTGATAACATTATGCATGGCGAGATAAGGAATTTGTATTCGACGAAATACAATCGATCTGCCATCAACAAGTTTTATCACATTGATATCACAACTGCATCCAGATTGATTTTAAATACATTGGAATATCATAATACTTGTGTACTTAATCTTACAGTGTACTTATAATGGAATCTTTACTTGACTAGACTGATAACATTATACGTGGGACATTAATGAAATACGATTATTTGACGTTGATATATTATCTTAGAATATCTGTATATTTATATTTATCCCACGCGTGTAGTACATTGAGATTAATGAAAACACACTGGTTCACTTTTACGATAAATTATTTATACCGTCGTTTAATTAAATGATGAGGATTAGTGAAGATTTTCATTATTAAGATGAGACTCAACGTGTCATTGATGGCTATACACTAATTTTTATTATATATAAATATACTTGTACCAACAACAGAAATACGCAAAATACTTGTAACAATAATTAATATTAAAACTAAACAGCCACAAGAACCAGTTTACACGTGAAGCGGCTTGTAAACGATAGTAACATTTTCCTGCAAAACGGAAGCACTCCCAGAGTCGACTTCCTCTTCTTCAACTAAATCACACAGAAGCCAACGTTGAAATCGTACTATCGCTCGCCATTACTTTTACTTCCCGACGCTCGGTTCTCTTCGCTCGATATTCTTCCAGGCGAAACTTCCGAAAGTTTCAATGAGTTTGCCGAAGCGTGAGGCAAATAAACCGCGAAGCCTTCGGCGAGGTCGCCACTTCTATTTCGTCGAACAATCTTAAGGATAGATACGAATTGTGGAAGCTTATATATATATATATGTGTGTGTATTTATACATATAAAATATTAAGCCCAGCAGTTTAGAATCGAAATTACCCATAGTGCATTATCGTACCCTGAGCGTAGTACCCACTACACGTTAAATTCATTGTGAACATCTCGTCAGGGGGCCAAGATACTTGCTAGTTGCAAATAGAGAGAGACCCCAGTGGGATTTGGCAAACTATTCGCCAAATGGCTAACTAGTCGAAGTCGACCCGAAGCGTTCCAGTCGGTGGCTTTCTGAGCTACGTTGGCGACGTTCTAATATATATATTTTATAGTCTCTCTAACACTAACCATCCCTTACCATTCTAAACTATATATGTACATAGATATATACACTGTTTACTGTCTCGTCTGCAGCAATAGATTGGCTTTTGTCTTATGATAACCCTGTTACGTAGAAATTGCAGGATGAAGTTTGCCCATGGCGCCGCGCGAGTTTGGTCCATGACCAAATCTTGCGGCGAAGCTTTAATTGCCACTATCACTGAACTCCTTCGAGTTTCATGGACTCCCGTTGCTAAGTAGAGACGCGAGAACCTGGCGGAAATCTGGAGCAGTCATCCTGGGTAAATAGTGGTGAACGTCGTGAAATAATAATGAAAGTGAGGGCGATTGGTCGAGGATCTACGGGATAAGGGTTGAGAGGGTGATGGTTTGGAATGTAGTTGAAGGTAGGTGGTTATTTATGGAGAGCGTCGGGGCGCGAAATTGTCGTGTGATACGTAAGAAAATGGCGTGCGACTCTGACGTCTTTCGCATCGACCGAGACAGACCTCCTGGGTCGTGGAGAGATTTTTTGCTGGACTCTTACGAAAATCGCATTTTCCGTCCTTGTTTTTTCCTTTTCTTTTCGTGGTCGTTCCTTTTCTTCCCTGTCCTCTTTTTACCCACATCCACCTCGGTGCCTCGTGACGTATTTCTTTTCTTTCGCGATCACAGAGACCGAAGACGCTGACAGAATGACGCCAACGTGCGCGACAATGAAGATTCTCGAGAAAATGAGGTTCTCGAAATGGCGTGACACTGCGCGATGCACATGGACAGTGCGAAATTTCTGCGAAGGAACTTCCGTCGGCGACTCGCGAAATTGATTTGTAAAGGGTGGTGCCGAAGTTTGCGAACGGGAGGGTTTCGGCCTCGAGTGAAAATATAAACGGGTTGTTTACATACGTTGACCCGTATTAGCCATAGCGTAACGTGTTATCGGACAACATGGTCGACGTACGCGGATGCTGCATAAATAAACGTCGTTAGAGACAAATGAATAAATTAGAAAAACAAATGGGATTCTCTTTCCATTAATGTGCCTTACGATGCGGAAAAGTAAGATCGCTATATTCACGGTGACAACGTGATAGTGAAACACTGTAAAGTGTGGTACGACAGGAAGCATGTGTATATTCAGAGAGAGAATTAATAAATATTCGGATGAAGATCCAGGGGCAGTTTGAACCAACGAAAATTGAATGCACGTCAAAGGGTGTCGTTTAGAAGGTCCGTGAGGTACCCTTTAACCTCTAAAACTTCAAAGGTAGGAAATGGTAGGTTTTGCGAGTGTCTACGAGAGGCACGATGGAGGGGTCGGGACGAGTGGTTGAAAGTGCGGAAACCACGACTGCCTTGTGTCGGACTTGGGCAACAAACTAAAATTGCATTTCCGCCGTTCTATAGCCCCAAGTCGAGCATTACTTCAGTCCCGTGTAAGCTCTCCTTTTCATTTCACCAGCTTTATCTCGCGCTCTTCCCTTTTATTTCTCACTTTAAATTCTATACCTATGTATTCTATCCTTGTGACCGTTCTCTCAACGGGATACCACGAGTCCCGTGTTATCTTCGCGGTTTGATCGAGTAAGAACATCCCGAGGTTCGCTTTGTTTTCCGAGTGAGCTGCGACCACAAAGAAATCCGTTCCAGTCGTCCGACCGATCTTAATCGTCTGTATGATCTGCGATGATCTACTTCTAATCTTTTATAGTCCGTATCCGCCTAGTTCGCACGACCTCCGTTGCCCCAATATTGGCGCTGCGCTACATTTTTATCTTTACTATTTTACTGCTTCTAGCACTGAGCTAGATCCTGTTAACTTTTCTACTTCGTATAAGTGAATGCACTGCCTATGGATTATATACAGTTTTTAACAGCTTAACCAAAACGCTCAAGGTCCGCGTTGGAGGATCTCTAATTGCATCCACCTTCCATCCGATCGCCGCCTCATTTGTTCTCCCTTTCATTCCATAATTCGTGCGCGTCCCGTGTGGCGGCGCTGTCGTTCCATAGCCGCTCGAGACAGTTGGGTCGCAGTTACTGTAATTACGCCAATTACTAACTTTTGACATTTCACTAATCATAGCAGCTTTGTAATGATCTGCCAACTTAGCCGCACTTTTAAAACTCATTTTCAAACTTTAAATTTCAACGTCAAAGTCCGTTTGCCTCGTTTATTAATTTTCAAGTTCGACGATAAACCGTCGCATGGAATTTCTATCAGACCTACGCGTCTCTCGCGATTATAAATGTTTTTTCCTAAAATTATAAAGAACCCACGCAATTCAATACCTCGTGTTAAACCTGTTTGTTACAATCGAGTAAGGACCGATACTGTAATCTTCGCAGCGAATATTGACGTGAAAGGCTAAGAAACCGTCAGTTATATTACGTCTAGACGAAAAGCAAAAAAAGGATTTTGTGAAAAGGTCCTGCCTTATGAAAGAATAAGCTCGTAAGTATCGCAAAGTTTTATTGCATCGACAAAAAAGGTCCTACGTCTTAATAATATCGTGTAACCGAATGGATTTGGTAAAAAAATGTGTCGTTCGTACAAAAAATATTGTCACTCATTTGAATATTGGATTGCGTGATCCTAGAAATTTCTGACTGCCTTTCATCTGCCATCTCGTGGGACGGCACGCTAGTCGTGCAAAATATCGCAATTATCTCTCACGCTCTTTCTTGCTGTGCCAGATATCAAAGCTCGGCTTGGCTATGCGGATGAGGGTACTTGCGTTATTTTTACGATGCTCAGTCATTCGTTCTTATTTTACTACGTTTTCGTACCATAAGCATTCATTAACCCTTTACAGCCTTAATGCTTATGACGTGCAACGTATACGTACAATGCTTGATACAGCTCTCTCATTCTGAAAGGATATTCCAACCGCTCTTCGCTTTCGAAACTTAAGCCTTTTTTGTTTTATATTTCCCGCTATAGAACTGTACAGTACAGAATATTATGTACAGAGAAAGTATCCTGTAAAACATCGCAGCACCTCTCGTAGCTAGGTCAGGCTAGGGTTAGGTATCGATTTTACTATGGACGCATGAATGCTGTTACCAGTCTATTTCCTGTTTCTCACCTTTTCGATTGTTCAGTGGAAAATTCATATATGTACACACTATATGTATATAGTACAGTCTCGTACCATTGCGATTTCCTCGAAACTAGCTCGATCGTAAAATGCCTTGAGGATTGGATGAACGTATTTCTGTCTTTTGTGATTTTTATTCCTGTTGGCTGTTTGTATCTGGACACGTGATCGTTTCTGACTTTTAATTTGGTCTCAAGATCGTTTTACGGGAACCGGCACGAGATCCATTATCGCTTTCTGCCATAAAACCGAAAATGGAAGGACGATAAAACTATTCCGATGGGTTACGGATAGTTAAATAATACATAGACGGTGATGTGTCTCTATGGCTTACTATGGATTTATAACTCCCCGTAAGACCCGATGACGAATGAGAGTTTCATCGTGAATTTCGAATGGGAAATGTTTCTATATAGTTTTGTATATCGTGAACGATATGTGTATTACGAAAACAGTTGGACGGCGGTATCACGATTGAAATCCCTTTTTCCGCGATAGGTACGTGAATTTTGAAAATCTCGAAATCCTTTCGGCTGTCACAATTTCGATGTAAATCTCCAATTGATATAAAACATTTCCAGAAATGGGAATATTTCGGATATTTTCAGGCGCGAGTATTGACATTGTGTGCAGTGGAAATTTATTTATTTAAAAGATTTAACGGTACGCGTGGTGCACGATAATTTGACTTTTTTTTTTTAATATCGATACCCAGGTGCCGTTGTATAAATGAAAAAATGTCATTGAAAAATATTTATCAACGACAAAATACAACATGAGAATCAAACGGCTTTATCTTCCAATATTGATTGACAATCATATTGATATGCGTGAAAATAATTAACATCGTTGACACGTTCGTGGTTGATACTATGTCAATTTCTGTTAAATCTAAATTCCATTAATAAATGGCGCAATCAGATATATATATATACACAGAACCATTATATATAGCGATATATAAGGCTGCTTGAGTTGCAGAGAAAAAAAAACTTACCAATAATCTAAAACACTTCAGGGTGAAGTGACCAGTTGGTGTCGCGTATAACCAGCAGGTTTGGATTAACAACCCTAAGGAGCTATCTTCTCCGATCCGTTTCTCATTCCGTCCATTCGTAACCGTTATTTTACAACTTTTATTTAATGGCTCAACTTTTACGTCCCTACGTGATTGGCTACCTCGAAGTGCCGGATGTCTGTATTCGCGACACGACGCGATCCTCGAGCGAACCCAGTCCGGCTGTGCTCTTCGCTCCAGCAATTTTCTCATTTCTATTTATCGTCGCGCCATGTTTTTTAGTGCCTCCCTTACGCTTTTGACTGAGCCCAATTAAAAAAGAATATACTTCACAGTTTGATTTCACTAACCGATATGCTTGAAAGCCTTGAAATACCTTGCAGCGGTTGGAATAGCCTGTAATTATGATTGTCGGAATACATGAATTTCAATTAATCAACGATTTGTTTGTAGGGTGATTTCCTTTTTTTTCTAGTTTTTTTAACGATCACCATCAATAGACAGACATATTGATATATTTGATATATTTTTTATTTAACATTTCCACTATATCTATATATAGGTCGTCAGAGTACTTTATCTGCGTTCTAGATTCTATATTGAATCTCTTGTTACGAACCCTAGAAGAATGCACAAGTTATTTCTAGATACCCTTGAACAAAGTACTCGAGGTATGTACCTACGTCATAGTACTCTTTCTCAATTTACATGTATCGACCTAACGATTTTTTATAGAATCGCTCTTACGCTCTTATCGTTATCCACATTAAATGACGTATACACAATTTTTTACGTTTACATGATTCTTCATCGTCGCCTTCACCCTCTTATCAGAGACTCCAAATCCTCTGATTCGATTCAGAATCATTCTCACAGTATCACCGTCCACTGTAGATGCCGTTTAAGCACCCATACCCAATAAAACAACCATTACATTATATTCACCATTCACATAGAATCCTTAGAGGTACTTCGTATTCTATATTACAGTTTAACAATGCCCATTGATATTGAATACACAAACTTTTAACATTTTCCCTCAAAAGGAGTACCGATACATGAAAAATTCATGTAGATCAGACGGACGGGTTAGGTAAGGTCAGGTAGACGCGTACTCACAGGTACACACGTAAGAACGAACGCCGTACCTGTACGTTCGTTAAGTTGAACGATCGCCGCTCGGAAGATCGACGATATGGACGCGTCGTGATAAAAGCGAATTAAGATAATCGTGAACACGGACTGCGAACTTTGCTCGATCGACTATAATAAAGTGACTCTACTGTGCAATGCAAAGTGTGTACTAAAAGTAATAAGTGATAATGCGATCGGCATACAGCAAAGCACGAGTACCGGATGCGCGAGTACCTAGTCTCGCTCTAACCGCGACGCGTCTCAGAAATTCATTCGTCGTATCTCGTGTCCTGATCGAGCGACGTGTACTATCGGGGATTGCTGATTGCTGATTTGCTACTTACCAAGGAGAGAGGCGAAGACCATGACGAAACATGTGCCCAGGTAGACGTCGATGGACTTGACGTAGGAGATTTTGGGAAGGGCAGCATTGGTCGAGGACATGAGGGTTGTCATGGTAAGCACAGTGGTTACTCCGAGGGCGACCCGAGCGGGGGTTGCGTTTCGGTTTAGCCAAAAGCTCACCCATGAGATAATCACGATTAATCCTGAGGGGATGTAGATCTGGATGAGATAGTAGCCCATCGATCGTACGAACTGGATCTCGCAAGCTAGCCGAGAATAATTCCCTGTGAAAAGAACGAGAATCCTCGTGAGTGCCGACGGTTAACTTCGAGGGTCGCTCGCGGCACATTTGGTTAACATGGACGAGACCGCTGATGGGGATATATCCTCAGAGTCCTCATCGGCCGACTTGTGCCGACTTCTTCCGTGGCATGGGGACTATTTTTTCGAACTAGAAGGAACCGACGATGCTCGTGGAACGCAGCCGGAAGTTGCGCCTCGGTTGTTGCTCCCGGGACTGATTCTTATTGAGCTTGCTGAACCTGTAAGCAGATTTTTACTGCCACGGTTGGTAACGATGCCTTTTTCTTCGTTGTGGGAATTCCTTGATTTCTTTTATTGATACCTCGGCAACCTGGGCAAACTTTTTTTTACTTCCCTCGAGAGTGGAAATGCGATCAGAATTTTTTTTTGGCATAACTTTGCCAAAGGGAGAAACATTTTTGTACTTTTTTCGAATACATATTGCGTGTCGAGAGGATCATCGTGCTACGTGGATGAACTGCCTGGCCAATCAGAAAGTAGATGCTTTAGTTTTATGTACCGTTGAAATTGAAGTTTTGCCAAATGCACGTCGAGTTATTTGCAAGTGGCGGCTTGAAATTGCTCCGGGTTACTGAAGACGGTGTAAGGCAAATAAGAGGAGAGAATGAGGGAATACAGAAGAGAGATAAAAGACGAAGAAAAATTGTCGAATTCAGTGAGTCGATGAATCCGTTGGCTCAATCAAATAAGATGGGTCCATCTACTGTGATTCGAACGAGACGGACTCGTTAGCTCGAGCCAAAAAATTTTCCTTAACGCGAGATAAACATTCCTCCCTATTTCTTACGTGGTTGATGCATCCTATCGCTTGTATTCCGTATACGTAGATTCGCCGATGATAAAAGATTCTGCAGACTATTCCTTCACTATTGTAGAATCTATATTTACTGTATACTACCTCAAGTAATGAGGGATCAATTCATCCTCAGTACTCTTAAATTTTCTGTCATCAAATTACATTGCCTCGACCTGAATTTCATAGAAAATCATATACCTATTGCTGGATGCATATATAAAATGCTGCATTTTTTAGATTTCAACTTCACTGTCGTTATTAGCAATCTGAGACGACTGATTTAAGGGATGTTTATAATGTGCTCATATGCACGAAGTGTCGGACAAATCATCATGGGGTTAAATCTGCAAATGGTAAATTCACCATCGGAAGGGAGCGACAAAACGAGGAACGTTCGCTAGTTACGGTTTGCTGGATACGTAAAAGGTATCCGTTTTTTTTTCATTGTGACTTTTTTTTTTCGTGAGCATGACGCAGACCCCTTGACGTCTCACGGTTACGTCTAGCCCGTCCTCATTTTTCTTACGTGACGTCGCATCAGGCAAGGAAGTCAAAGTTCCTCTTGGTGAGGATGCGGCTAGACACTAATGACGTACGAATAGACTTTTTTACGCTTGGGTAGTCAGGACCCATTTTCCTCTGCAAATACCACGATAAAAAAAGGAATTCAGATCGACCCTTGAGAATGGTTAGAAATAGAAATAGCACAGATGGGTGAGAACGTACGCGAAAATAGAAATGGAACGGCAAATCAGGGATTCGTTGATCCGTGAAAAGGACTGAAAGATATTCTTATACTGACAATGAGAGGTTTTCTGCTTTTTTTGAAAAAGTAAATATAAATAACAGTCGGTACAGTCGTATCAGAAACTACGATTTTTCAGTGCAATAAGTAGTGACTTGTGCACGATTATGTTAGTCACGTGTTATCCTTGTAATCGTTATCAGTAGAATTACCAAAGACTTAAACCCTTTGTCGCACACTTTTTTCCCTTAGTTTTTAATTCTTTATAAATGATTTTTTGACAGCTTTATCCACACTATTTGCTGTCACAGGGTTCCTAAAGCATAGATAAATGTAGGAAAAATATAAACAAGCATTTAACGTTAGTTAGAAAAGAATTTACAAAAAAATGAACTGTCGAAATGAGTGGTTTTTTTTTTAGGAGAAAAATTCGTTTCCAACTACTACGTTATAAATTGTTGCTTCAGACTTACTTTTGGGATCCCTGATTTCGAACCTGAAGTAAGAGATATTAATTACAAAATTTGATTTCGAATTTGTTACACAGAATTACACGGAATTTCTCATTTTTTGAGCTTTTTTCTCCGAATTATCAAATTTCAAATAACTCATAGATAAGGAAAAATTTATGCTTCAAAGGGTCAACTACACCAGTATAATATCCCCAACTCAGTCTCTTTTATTGATAACAAATCTGTGAATACCCTAGATTTTAGCTTAAAGAACGAAAAATTGCCGATGATTGCACTATTCCCTTAGGATTTATAAAAAGCCTTAATCACCTACCTCGACCTATCCTTTGAAGACTGGCTAGGTACCGTAGAGACTTGAAGATCGGTACGAGAATCAGGTATACGAGAGGAGCTAAAATACGGTTTATCGGTAAAGTACGGTCCCGACTGCAAATTTCTATATAGTATAAGGATTAAAAAATATGAATCCTCAATTCTCGCGAAAGGCAGTTACGCTGACTGCGGATAAAAACGTTTTAATTCGTTCCCGTCAAAGAGATTTCACTAGTTGATTCCACTTGCAGGAATGTCCAGCGGACGAATAACTCGTCCTTTATCGTTCATTCCAGTGGTCCCCAGTACCAGCACTCCAGGAATTCTCTCAAACAATAAAATATATTCGACTCGCAAATAGAATTACAGAATCCATCCATTCGTTGGCATACATTGCCGTTAAATCTTTGAGGCAGCTTGCATCCAAACGAGAACGACGTAGCTTCCAAGGAAATCCGATTAAACTAATCACTGCTATCATCCAATTAACCACTAGCATCTATCAGCGAACCACTACCATATCCATCCCTCAACCCTTTTCCATCCCTGACCATCCCTGCTTCCTGACTATATATATAGATTGTATACAGCCACCTCATTTTCATGGATGACTGTAGAATCCTTCTTCCTGCTCTTTTATTTCCTTTTTCTACCTCGACTCTTTCGTACCCCGGTTTGCCATCTATTTGAAATGCATTAGAAAGCCAGATAACGTGGGTCGCTTTCAGATTGCACAACCGTACCGAGTAAGACGGTTACGTTTATTTGCTACAATGTTTCCTCAATTTTAACTTCTCTTTCTGTGATTCTCTCAAGGCTGCGCTACCCTCCAGCAAAGATGACTCACAGAGCCCGTATTTCCTATGCAACACCAATTTCCGGAAATGGTAGCCGCATTCTGCCATCCCTACGACTTCTCGTTCAGATTGGTCAAAGTTCTCCGTGATTTTCAACCAATGAACGAACGTGTTTCCGATAGTTTCCGACGTTACCCGACTACACACGAAGACCATACAGAACTCATTGGTGCATACTCGACATACTACGAAGTCTCAACCCAGTATCAATGGCAGTGATCATTGTCACTAGTAGCACTTTCGAACAATCCCACAAGCAGTCGCAGCACTAGTTCAGACTACTCAGATTAGAATTGCGAATATATATATTGGATATACAATATATATATATATAAACTTGTCAAAGGGTGTTATCAGGAGGCATGCCACTCACAATGGCAAGCCCATGCGTTTAAAAAAAAAAAACTAAAACTGGAGACATGTATTAAAATTCTAACCTAACCTAATTTAACGAAATCATTTTTTAGCCCATCACAACTACGAGTGTGTAGCATGAAAATTTTTTCGGAAAATTCGGTGTGAGTGCCACTTTATGGTCCTGACAGTATGCCTTACGTATCTAAATGCTATCAGGCTCGTCCTGATAAACACCAAGTGTCCTCAAAACTGCCAATACTCAAGACAAAAAGTTCTGAAAACTACCCTTCTTAAAAAATATATATATATATAAATGCCCGAGGAACAACCGAGAAGGAAAACAGGTGGCATGTAGACTAGACATATAGATGGGTGTCTAGTAAAGTAACGTGTATTCCGTGTCATACCCTTTCTCCTTTTCCTCTATATATACCTCTGTACATTGCTCTGAATACGTATATCTATATACGTAGTCCGAAGAATAGCCGAGGCTCAACCCATTGTGAACAATCGCCAATGGCAGCAGCCAATGTAAACAGGTGACAATGCAAAGGGAGTTTGGCAAAGGTGAGCTTCGTCGTCAAGCGGGTGATGGAAATTCCTTTGAAAGGTGGATTCATTAAAAATCAAGCCAGAGGCAGGTTAAGCTCACTGAATGGCAATGGAATGACCAACGTAATATATACAGTTCGCCGGGTTGAAAAATTTCGGGAATGTAACTAGAATATCTGAAGAATTTTATAAATTACAAAAAAATCCTAACTGGCAGGAGATGTAAAACTTTTAGCGTTGTTGATACCCGCGGCAATTGCCTAGAAAATTTCTAGTTCAATAAGCCACTGGAGATCGTATCGGTAAAAGGTTGGGTACTATCTAGCGTGTACGTATATATATGCCAACGATTCTAGGAGCAGTTATAGGTATAGGATAAAGGGGTGCATAGCTGCGAGAGTGGAAGAGTAAAGAAACACTAGAATATTTACAGAGCCAGTTAAAGGGTCCAGCATATGCAGGACGTACGCTCGATTGCGGCAACCGGTCGGCTGACTGGTCTGTTTTAATTACTCTGGCATTGATTGTGGTTGGCCAATGAGAGGGAGGCGATGGTGGGCTGTATTACTGCGAGAGTGGGAGAACAGAAGAGAATAGACACATATGTCCAGAATATAGTTACAGACAGTGCCCGAAATCTGAAACCACCGTAGGTCCTACTAAAAGCAGGTGTATACCGGGTAATCATTTCATATTTACCCTTTTCATAACGGGGACCGGTTCCGGTTGTAGGGACGTTTTATTTATTCAATACCTCTCCTTTTATCCTAACAGTAATAATAGTAAGGTGCTGTAAACTTTGTTCCAATAATGTATTTACTGTTAGTCTCTCGAGAACTCGCTATCTTTCTTTGATCTAGTTCACATTTACACCTTACTCATTGAAGTGCCTAAATCCCATTTGACGAGAAACTAGATACGATGCGCTTCGATTTGAATGAACTTCTTCGTAAGAGCCTATCGAGAGATTATTGGCGAGTCATTAGAGTTTCTCCTCGCCCCGTCTAGTGATCAAGAGCTACTTAGGGTGTGTGTATATATATATGTATATATAGAACCAGACTGTTCCGTATAGCCGAGTGGCAATGAGCCGGAGTTGAAGAGAAGGTAGGTAATTCAGCCCGACAGAAGCTCAGGTCTGTGGGTCAGTCAGTGTAATCCGAGCCGTAATTAAAACCTTCATCAAACTAAGTAGAAGCGGGGCCCTCTGCCTTGCTCCTCTATATTCTCAACCTGTACGGCCTTTACCCGTACCCGAGCACGTATACTTATAGAGACTTTTTGGATTCACCCTGACTCCATTGTGTGTAGAGCAGGGTGTCCGCGAGGATTCGTGTTCAGTGCGAAATGTACTTTCACGCTTATATTGCCTAGTGGCGCCATCTACCCTTTTACTCTCTTTCTTTTTTACTTTTTTTTCGCATTAAATATCAATGACGAGATGGAAGATCTTGATTGGAACTGGTAGGTCAACAGGGGTTACCTTTCATGCTATTACTTAATTAATCTATAACTTGGAAAGCATTGAAATCATTTCTTTTTTACGTTATACGCGAATCGGTCTATATAACTGGCTGTATTGGAAGAGGATGTTTTTTTAATGAAAAGGGATGATTCGCGGATTTTCCCATCGGGTGATTAATGCTGAAGAAAAAAAAAACATAATGGCTGCATGTCTGATATAAGGATGGCAGTGAATAATGCGTTGGTAAATCGTGTCGATATTTCGAGCCTTTCAAAACGTCGGGATTGCATGACGACCTGAATAACGTGCTAAGGATCGACGAGGTACAACCTGAAAGTCGACGGTCGTAATATATACGAGAGGAAATTCAGTTTCCGTCGAATATAGTACAGTACACTTTGAAAAGTCGTATTTTCCACGTGGAACGTAGGGAAAAATCCATTGCCCCACGGAAACGTCGTAACGCCCTTCCATATTTTAGCGTTGGCACGCGAATGCATATCGAGGACGTAGCGGAAAATATACATTGTCTCGCGAATGACTGTATCTCTAATTGTATCTCAAGAGACGTCGACGAGCTTATTAACGCGCACAGACGGCACAAAAAGTGAAGGACGAAAACAGTCAGGGTTCGCAGTCTATGCGAAAGGTGCGGAAGATTTTGATGTTGACGCAATACGGTACGAGATCAATGCTGGATGCAATTGTATATGTAAATGCAACGAGATTACAAAGTATCACGATACTTGTTAGAATATAAGTATTTGCCGAGAAATCTTTTCTCCGTCTATGATTTTCCCTATGGAAAATATTCAGTCGAATAAATGGCAAATCCTTAAGTGATAACGTTCTATGATTCTTAGTATCACGAAAGTTCACTTTAATATACATATATACCATATACAAAAGAGTAGAATGCGATTATCCTTTAACGGATAAATACCGAGTCCACAGAGAGCTTGAGCTTTTATACTTCCAGAAGCACCCGAGGTAGCTAGGTATTATATAGCCAATGTCTTGAGAGAATTCTCGAGTAGTCAACATCCTCGAAAGCGTAATCGACAAGGTGGCGGAAAACCTTTTCGCTCAAACGTCGTTCTCCCTTATGGCCGCACTTGGGTTACCAAAGTGTGGAAAGAGAATTCCAAAGAGGAGGCTATTATCTTGAAGATTATGAGAAAGAAATACGTAAGAGGCACATGCACATCAGAGGGTCGTCGTATATTTTCCTGAGAGTTAACGATGTTTATCAGGTACGTGAGATCATTTGAGACTAATAAAAATAGCTCAAGAGAAGCATAGGAGAATTTAATCGCCACAGAAGGGATCAATGAATTCGTTAGGATCGACCCATGTCCCGAGGTCTCTGACGATTCACCAAAGAGAACTAGATCAGAGGAGAAGAGAGAAAATAGTCAGGGAACATGCGCTACGTCTAAGTTCAAGCATAACAGGGATGAAGGAAACGACGTCGACGTCGACGATGACGCTCATACCGGAAGTCTCAGCGGGTTTATCCGGTTTATCCACGGATTCCATCGAGACTACCTTCGTACTCTAACTTTCGGAAGCTCTCGTATATACCAGCAGGAGCAGATACCGGTTGAGGTATTGAAACGGTAGAGTTTAGCTAACCTCTGAGTACTCATGTACTTAGAGTGTCCTGGTTAGAGACAGTCACTGGAAGAACAATCCTTTAGTACCAACAACAGCTGACAGATAAAGAACTTCTCTCGCTAATCAATTAGCGCCTCTCGCTAATCCATCTGTTATCTCTTATAATCAAATAGTCTTTAGATATCCTAAAAGTGATTTCAGAAAGGATGAAATCATTAAAAAGTTTTATCGTTAGACTTATGCACTTTGGGATAGAGCATGTAAATCATATAAATTTGTACTGATCAGTACCTAGCCTACTTTATTCCACTGTTCAGATACTCTTGAGAAAATTTATCGAAGCTCTGGCATACTGGCACATGATATCCTATTCAATACTGTACGTAGAGAAATTTTGATGAAGTTTTACTATTCTTGCTGTGATTAGCCGCTTTGCACACTGTGCCATAGCCAAGTCAGACGTAATGCCACTAGGGCTACCTTGCTACACAAGGATAGGTCAGAGTGATATAGGAATAGTCAACAATAAATAAAGGGGTACCTCTGACAATCCTTTCCTACAATACCGACGTTACTCTTGACGACTACCATTTCCACATTACAAAGACTGTTGTACCTTTTATCGATGATTTAATAAATATTTGTAATTTTGTGTTATCGTATAATCCTGCGTCGTATAAGTTCTTAAAATCGTCAGTTCCGAGCACTTACCTACATCCCATTTCGCACATTCATAAGGAGCGTACGAAATTGCACTACCGATAAACGTTACAGTATATAGCAGAGATAAAAAGTGAATAAGTGAAAGAGAGAGAGAGAGAGAGAGAGTTGAGAAACTCGTCAAGAGAATTCTGAGGTCATCCTGCAGCGTGGCTATTTGCCAGAAACTGGGCAAATCGTTCGAGGTACCCACGAAGTCTAAGTTCGACGTGTCCAGTTAGATCGGTCCAGTATTCTTCTTCTAAGTGTAAGGGGATACGTTACCAGTGGTTAAACTAATCTCCATGTCGCGTTGTCGATGACCAAGGACCTTGAATTGAGGAAGAGACACTTCGGGGCTGACGCCAACACTGTTCGGTCCTTCGTTCCATTTGTACCGGATGTCCCTCATGGTGTATCCGACTGAAAATATAGAGACCCCCCCCCACGGTTGGTACGTACCTTGCAGAACCCGCAATCTTGCGCAGCCTCCGAGGGGACCTCCACTTACCTTTTACCTCATATACCCTTAAATCACGTGACTTTCATTATAAGCAAATTTAACGCCAAATCAAACTAGAAGAGTAATGTGATATAGGGTGTGAGCATATGATCATCGTGGTTTAGAAACCGGATACAACGGATCTCAAGAAATGTTGGATCGTAAATTCAGGGGCCTTTGATTTGGGAAATCTGGTTGAACGATGGGAGCAAATTTCGGATGGGAATTTTTTTCTTCTGTTGATAGTTTTTTTCGATTTAAGGATACTGACCCATTTCTCGTGTACCATAATTATGAAGCTCTTATCAGAATTATGGAAACGTGATTATCGTGCATTCGGTGCGGGAAAACGCTCTTCTCAACTGGTGTGAAATCGGTGGTCACGAGGACGGTTCTAGAGGAGGATGAATATGGGATATCTACCTGTAGAGAGGTGTATGGTTGTCTGTCGTTGCCTGTGCCCGAGCACGCGAAATTGCGGTAGCTCCACCTCGTTCGAGATGCCGACCGATTGTAGGCCGGCGATCCATTTGTACCGAATATCGCGCATTGTGTATCCAACTGCCAAGAGAACAAAACACAAATCTCCACTCTAGCATACAGTTAGACACTTAATAGGGCGGGCAGGAACTGATTGAACGAATGGATTGATAAAACTAAGAACAGATGGCGCCTCGGTCGATATTTTATTTATTTAACCGCGTGCAATAAAGTTTTTGTTATTTTTATTTAATTCATTTTATACAGGATGTACTGAAAAATAGGTATACCTACGGTTGATAATAGGAGATTCGATGTGCATAGCTATTCTTGAATCACACTGTATAGGTGAATATACAAGGCGCGACTGTTCTTAGACACTTGAGGGACGATTAATAATAAAAACCTATCGATAACATTTAAATTAACGAGCGAACGTTCTTTTTTTTTGCTGCAAAGGATTTCTTAAGTCTACCAATTAGGATACAAAGCGTTATTCTTTGCTCTGGTTACATTACGTATGAAACGGCAAGAATAATGCTTTGATTTTTGTAAGCGCGGAAAGGCATTCATCGAATATGTATATCTTTGCATTTTTATTTCTGTTTTTTTTTTTCTTATTTCACTTTCTTTTATCTTGACAACGAATCGCACTTCATTTTTGCGGGGACCGAATTTGGATATTTTGTCAATAAAAATGTTTGGTATACAACATTTTTGACATTTCACATTTTATACTATTTTACATTATTTCTCGGTATATTGATTTGATATATGAATCTAAACTCCTATTTTGAATGGAATATTTCTCCCGTGATTACAACGAAAATCAAGATACGCTCTTGTTTCTTGTCGTAGCCTTCCGCGCATGCATAAGAACATTCCTTTGGAACTGAGCTGGAGGTTACAATCGTTATACGACATTCCAAGAATTGAAATGGTATTCGACGGCGTGCACCGACATAGCGAACATTCGCAAGACTCTGGAATCCGCGATGCATTCAGAATTAAGTGCTCCATTTTGTTGGACGTCGAGCGAGAGCGATTCCTATGTATAATAAATTTAAGTGTCAAACATGCCAAATCGTTTCGAGTGCACCGCGAAAATCATAATGAAAACTCTAAATGACGAATAGATTAAATTTAGACTCAAGGGAAAAAATGTTTGCGTACCGTAACGACGACCCTTGGAAACGGGTATAATTTAAAAAAAATTTTAAGTAACGTACACGTAATTAATGCGAATTAGTTTAATTAGAATGTGAATCCGAGCACGTAATACCAAATGCACTATATATGTTCGCTGTGTGGTCGTTAACGACGATTCTGCTTCGACACTAAAGCCGCGTTTCCACGTGCAATTACTCAGCCGATCGACACTCGAGAACTCTATTCGACGCACGTTCCATTGCGCTTTGTGATTAACGCTCAACCCTCCAATGAGAAAAGAGATTACTGTAGATTTTGAAAATCCCAACGAATTGTCCGCGTGATATTTTTTCGAACGCGCAAAAAAAAACAGATTTCACGATATTTTCGTTATGTACATATTCAACAAATGTCTCGAGTGCGTCTGAATTGCCGTAGATACATCGTGTAAATTTTAAAAGTTCAATTTGACAACGAACATATAATTTAAAAAAAAGAATGACTATAGGTCTCATTAGTGATAAACATGAAGTGGATATGGGATGACATATAGAAAATATGGACAAGAGAGTAAAGAAACGTGCCGTGCATGCGTGCAGAGTTGTGTACTTGCAATAAAAGCTTACCGATATTTTCTCTTTTTTTCTCTATCAAACAAGAGCAAAATTTTGACACACTTAGCAAATTTTCTACAATTTCTTTTTTCACCTCTAAATAACTCATTTCAATGCTATTGAGTTAACAGTGATATGCATAACTATAGGCATACATACAAAATGTATCAGCTAACGTGTCTGTTTACGGTTTACGGTTAAACGGTGAACGATTTTAAGAATCTGATGTGGCAACTATTGAATATTTTTTATGTTGCATAGATTGCGCATATCAATATTGTTCATTTGACTTCCGTTCGTAAATAAACAAATTATCATTGCCGTTTCAAGGTTCCGGGAAAATCCACCAGATGGCGTTGTTAAGCACCTACGGCAGTTCCGGCAAATTTCGTTAGGGCGGCATAAATCTGTCAAAAAGTTACCAAATTTAGAACGGAAATATCTTCATAATTTTCATGTATGTCATCCATATAAACTGTTTTTTCCATTTTTATTTTTTTCTTGCTCTATGACTTTTACACTTAACTTTATTCAATGTGACTTGAAATGACAAAGAAAGTTTTTTTATTTGCGAATAGAAATTAAGCAAATAATAATATGCGCAATCGATGCTCGATTAAAAAGTACCAAATGGTTGTCACATCAGATTTTCGAAATCGTTCACCGTTTCACCGCAAACCGCAAACGTGGATCTCAGCTGATACACTTCGTATATGTAACGTATGTAGTGCACTCGATGTGGCAGCTTGTAAACGCGCTCGTAACTCAAGACACTGTAAAAGGCAAGCATGTATAGATACAGAACTACTTGGCATGCTTATCAAGACTTGACTATCATCTACAGGATGGTCAAATGCGCGAGTCAATCTACGTAATTGCGTCCTCAAGTACAGGGTGGCACGAGGACATTAAATGCGAAGTCATGCTTCACCAGCGTGGCGACGCCTGGGCTGCGGGTCTTGTATCGCGCATGACGCGTTGCACTAGAATGAGCCGTAGTCATGCACACGTGTCAGCGAGCCAATCTGTCTAACCGTTTCTATCCACAAGTTTTACTTGGGAAATGTACGTGGGATTGAGACATTTACAGGGATTCCGTCATCACACGAAATATTCAGCCGAATCGACTTGAATGGTTTCTGTGTAAACGAGATGGGTATTTTTTGTCCTTATGAAGTCAGTCAAAATACTCGCGGTATTTCCAGGACGAGGAAACGTTGGCGTCGCCGACCATTGTACGGCAATAAGTTCTCAGAATTAATTGCACGGCTCATCTAAGTGAAATTCAGTAAAGTATTCAAAATGTGAATAAGTATTTATGG